TTACAATTAAAATGGCAGGAAATTATTTTTTCTTGAGTGAGTGTTAGATGCACTTATGTAAGCAGACTGCAAACCGTCTCTCTTTCAATCTGGCACACTTTAATCTGATTGGCTGACTGCGGCTAAAGGCAGTATTCTTTGTTTGTTGTTTTGAGGAAGAAATAATAGGGTGTTTTTTCACACACACGAATGCCTTCATGAATTTGAGTAAGCCCATTTATACTGTCATTCTCAATTAAACGGTTACATCTAGAAATCAAACAATTATTATTGTTGAGAATTGTATGATACAGAACAATATAATATTCGGTTGTTGGGGAAAAAAATCTAGTGGAATTGTATGCAGGGAACATATTTCAACATGCGTCATAATTATGACCTGTGAAATTATAATTACATAGTTCCCAGGAGGACTTAAATGCACCAGCAGAAATACGTGCTTAGCATTGGTCCAAATTCATATTGCAGGCTGGATTGGCTACCAACACTTGGTCTTGCATGCCTGAAATGGCTGCCTTGCAGATATGGCCACTGAGTGAACTTTGAATAAATTCAGTTTTATTCTAGGCACTCAGTAGAATGTTAGATATCTGCAATAGACCCAGATGTTTTGCTTTGTTATCAGGGTTACAATGTAATAAATATACAGTTGAAGTCAGAATTGTAAAACTTCCAACAAGGAAATTTTCACAGTATGTCTGATAATATATATATATTTCTTCTGGAGAAAGCCTTATTTGTTTTATTTCGGCTGGAATATAAGCAGTTTTTGATTTTTAATAAACCATTTTAAGGTCAAAATTAGTAGCCCCTTTAAGCTAGATTTTTTCCAATAGTCTACCGAACAAACCATTCCTATACAATAACTTGCTTAATTTCCCTAACCTGCCTATAACCTAAATAACCCAGTTAAGCCTTTAAATGTCACTTTAAGCTGTATAGAAGTGTCTTGAAAAATATCTAGTAAACTATTATTTAGTGTCATCATCGCAAAGATAAAATAAATTAGTTATTAGAAATGAGTTACTAAAACTATTATGTTTATAAACATGTTGAAAAAAATCTGCTCTCCGTTAAACAGAAATTGTGGAAAAAAATAAACAGGTGGGGGCTAATATAACTGTGTATATAACTGTGTGTGTATATTTGTACAGCAAATGTCTATGTGTTCCAGACCTCAGGCTGTAATTGACTGCAAAGGATTTGCAACCAAGTATTAAAAAGTGAAAGTTTTTTTTAATGATTATTATTATTGTCCAGTTACTTTTGGTCCCTTAACAAGTGGGAGGCCCATATGCAAACTACAGTGTTCACCTGATTTGGATGTAAACTCCAGACTCCAAAAGCTAACAGTCTGCTGTTTAAGCACATTTTGTTTGTTACATTTCAAATCTATTGTGTTGGTGATTAGATCAAAAAATGTTAAAATTGTGTCGATATCCAAATATTTATGGACCTAACTATATGTATATATACACACACATTATTGCACATACAGGTAAAATACAGAAAACACAACAGAGAACAGCACAATGTCTGCATTTTTGTTTTTGTTTTTTTAAGCCTAAGTGAAACTAGAACCAATGTTAAGTACCCACACCCACCCACAAACCCCTTGGGAAGAATGACAATTAAATGAGAAAACTATACAGACACTTTTAAATGTATACAAAATAAACAATGAGAATATATATTAAAGTGTATTCTTGATTGTATGTAACGTATAGATTATTATGCATGAAAATACTCTCAAATAGCAGACCACATTGAAAATGTGTCAGGGGACTCTAAAACGTTTATAGACTGTTTATTAACTTTTATTATGGAGATGCACTCTCTCTCTGCAGAATTATCCCAATCAATCTCACTTTATCAATTATTTCCAAATATAGATATTCTGGTGAAATTGTGTTCATATCGCAAAATAAAAAAATATCTCTAGATTTTTCCATTATCGTCAATACCTAGTTTGTTCCATAGTCTAAAGGATAATTTTCCTGTTATGGTTTGTTGCATTTATTTAGAAATGCGCACCACTAAATCACAGTCAGTTTGTTCCAGAACGAGGTACAGTGTGGATCAGACCTTTTGTCATGTAGTCAAAGGTTTAGATACAGTTTGTATGACTAGTGGAGAAATGGAGAGAGGGTCACTAGAGATGTGCTCAGCAGGAGATCCTCAGCAGAGAGTGTGCTTCATTAAAATCACATTTTTAGCCTTGTTGAAGAGAGCTCTCTTTTTGTTGTTGACTTTGAGGATTGCAGTAAATGATCGAATTAAACTGATTTATGCTCTCTAATCTTAAGCAAAATCTCTCAAACTCTGGCTAAATCCATGCCTCTTTAACTGTTTCAGTCTTGATATCTTAGGATGGATAATGCACAGCCTGCTGAAACACTCGACATTTTTGTCATATCTTCAGTTTTTGTAGAAAATAGAATCAGACAATTTTCCTCCTCTTGATTGAGGCTTAGCTCTGACTCGGGCGTTATCAGAAAAAGCAGTGCTTGGTTAAATATTGATGCTATGAGAGAAGCCATTCTTTGTCAGGGATTATGAATTATTACACAAAGATAATGAATCAGGGGAACAATGCCGATTGCTCCTAAATTGAGAGATTAGTTTACCAAAGGTCTGGTCGGATGGAAATTGTGCTTTCATCCCCTTTAAAAGAATTTTGCATGCAAATTGTCAGAAGATTAACTTAAGAATGACTGCCATAGGGAACAGCAAGTTTTGAATCAGGAAATCAGCTAAAGCCCAGCTGAACTGCATGATTATGTGTCAGAGAAAACACTGGGCTACCAGCCAGGCCGAACAAATGATGAATAGCTAATAATCTGAGATACATGAATGAGTAGTTTTTGTTAGTTTGTTCCATCAACATGTGAGGGTATCAACATAGGGGGAGAAAAAACTTCAACATAAGCTCATTCGGAAAAACTTAGTCCTATTTACATTTCTGGGCATTGTGAATTATGTAGCCAGAAGTATGTATGGCTGCATTTTGTCTTAAAAACGAATGCTACAAGGCAGAATGGCACTGTTCCTTTTCGCACTTACCTCCATATGGATGGCTTTTCCTCTGTTACCAGTTTGTCCAGTTAGCTCGCCATGGACGTCTGCGAACTTGAGATGCAGTGAGGACTTAATCACAACGATGGGGTTTAAGATTCCAGAAAGTGGATGAGACAAAAACAGACCCAAAAAACAAAGTAAACCAGTAAATAACAGGCTGAGAATGTGGTAAAAATCTGAAAACTTGGTAAAAATCTGTATTTTCTTTTTCTGGATTGCTTTTTTTAAACTGTCAGTTGGGTTTAGGGAAGTGGTTGGGAGGGTCAATTGGTGCTTTTGAAAATACTTTTGAATGAGCCTGGGTTGAAAAACTTCCTTTAAGTTTTATGTCAGATAATCTACAGTATAATCTCTGCAATAAAGGCAAATAAATGTTCATTATGATGAGTTATTTTTATGCATGTTGAAATGCAGTACATAATTGTTATGGAGCTAACTTGTTAACAAAGGTTCGGCGGCGGAATCATGCCTCACTTTAGAGGTCTGCTTTAGAGGTCTGCATGAGTCAGCGTGATGCTGCGTTTAGCTTGTTTGTTGCTGTCTGCGTGTGTGTGTGTGTGTGTGTGTTTATACAGAAAGCTTGTTATAGGCTGTCTGGACTCTGTATAGCTGGGTTTTCGGTTACGTTCTCCCCCGTCCGTTGGCGGTAATGGGCGCGGCGGGTTGAAAACAGGGCTAGTCAGGCAGCGAGACAACAAATGCTGAATATAAGCAAAAGTAGTCGGGTTCGGGCTAAAACCTGGCAGGAGGTGGCAGGAGCGGGATTCAAAATTTAGTCACGCGCAGATCTATACCTCATTTTGTCTCCTTTTCCAATCACCTACTCCCTAAATATCTTTTCAGGCAGACCAGCCCTATACCACTGTTCTTCTCGTTCTTTCAAACTCACCCTCCCTTTCTCTCTATATTTCCTCGCTTTCCATTCACAATCCTATATCCCTCTCTTCACTCCAAGGTTGAACAGGATGATCCTATCTCTCTACCAAAATATTACAGAGAATGGAGGTACACTCTTTGTCTCTGGGCGTCATTGTAGGACACGCGATCAACCTACCTACCTACCTGTTCACTGTTACTTTCCCAAAGTTTCTTTCCCTTAAGCCATCAAAAATTAACAACAAGAGATTTTTTTCTTCAGTAGAATATTAGGGAAGAGTTTTATCCAAATTGTGTGACCCTTGGTGGGTTTTTTAAATCTTAGTTAAAAATAATTAATACACATGACTCGAGGATATGGTGGTCTGATGAAGCTCACATGTAGCTGTTGATTTGAATTTTATGAATCACCAAAGACCCAGGTATGAGCTTAAATATTCAGAAGAAAAACGTCATCTATATCTTTGATGGCTTTAGGGAAAGTAACTTATTATTTTGGGTAAACCTTCCCTTTAGAATTTAGAGAACTGTAATGCTCACTCTTAGAAATAAAGGTAGGAGTGCTGTCACTGGGAGCTGTCACTAGCTTGTCAGAAGGTACACATTTGTCCCGGTAGGGTCCACATTCTTAAAGGTACATCTTAGTACCTAAAAAGTACAAACGTGTTCTTTTTTAAAAGGGGAACCTCCACATGGACAACTCTCATAGGTTTATCTCTGAGAGTGCAGATTGATCTCAATTAGAGATGGTTTTGAATAGCTATACTGCAAATATGGTCACTGAATGAATTGGCTTTCTTTGAAAAAAGACTTTGCCATTGGCAAACATGGCAAGGTTCATGAACCGGTTTGAAACCAGTTGTTATTTTTGTAGTTCTGTTTGTTGATGCTTCAGGCACACAAATTACTCAATGTATTCAGCTTCCAGAATTATATCCATTCTTTTTTTAAGATCCAACCAACACAATCCCATGAAACGATACACAATCCTGTTCTTAACCCCCTCAAAAATACATATTTCACCATTTCTCTCTCTCTCTTCGCAGGAACATCTCTGGCCCAGGTAATGACCTGCATCAGGATTCATTTTATAATATGCAAGCCACGCAATCCTCAAAATCTTGGAGCAGCCACTTAGACCACAGGTGTGCTAGGAGTCTCCGGTCAGGCGGTCCAAGCCAAAGTCCTCCTGCTCCATACCGACCCTGCTCAATCCCAATCATCCCCTCTGTCCACTCCTACCAGGATGAGGTCTCATGTATGCAAACCGCCCCAACTGATGGAAGCAGTCGCTCTAGTCCTCTTGAGGGAACAGCGAATACTGCAGCTGTCCATCAACAGTCCATCCGAGCGGCTGGTAGACGGGAAGAAGTGGTTTCGCTACTGGACGAGGCTCAGGAGCAGCTTCGAGCGCTGGCACATGCCCAGAGGAAACAGGAGGACCTTAGTAGCTCCGTCCCTCAGGGGGCCAAAGAGACTGTGTGCATCCTTTTAGCAAATGGGGGTGGACAAGGGGGAGTGGCCTCTTTTGGGCCAACGGAGACTCAGTTGGTGAGCCCAAGAGACACACACAAAGATGCTACAAAGCCCGGCCAATGAGAAGCGGCGGACAGGACTAACCACAAACGTCCCGTGTGTCTTAGGGCTTCACAAAGCTCTGCCAAAATTGGGATATCACTGAAACCTACTGTACCATCGAATTTCTGAGGACCTGCTGTTGGTAGAAGTGTGGGGAGAGTTGACAGTCTGGAACATGTGAAAAGATAATTTATTTATATGCATTTATTTAAGGAGAACTTCTACTTAGAAAAAGAAACCAAATAGTCTGTCATCTCCATGGTGTTTTTAACTGTATAAAATATACATAAATATATATAAATGGATATAAATATATGAATTCAAACTGGTGACCAAGTACAAAAAAGGAATATGGGAATGAGAAACTTTCTTTTGTAATGTATCAGCTCCACATCCTTAAAGACTAAATACTCAGTGGTTTAAAAAAAAAAAGAATTATATAAAAAAGAGGAGTTTTTTCCACTCGTTTCACACATTTCCAGCCAAGCTAAGCTTGTCCGACACACAATCTTGTGTTTTGCACCTGCAGCAGCTGTGTTTACTATCACCGTCCCAGTCACTGTCCTCTACCCTGCCAAGGAATATGGCTCCATCTGCCTTTGAAAACCGTGGAACGTGGATTACAATTGGACTAAATTTCTAAACGCTAATCGTATCCAGGCATGAGGTAACTGATAGTTAAGCACTGCCTCCAAGACATCGATTGGAAGAATTTGGTGTGTCTGTCTGTTTGTGGAGCAATCTGCGTTTTGTTTTCTGTGCCTCGGTACGTTCACTCATTCATTTTGGTTGGGACAAGCTGACGGAACAGAACACTTTGTACTGTACACCATCTGAGATGCACAAACAGATAGTTGTCGCCTCTCTGGATGGACCGAGGAGATTCCTGCATGGGATATTAGAGGGCAGGTTCGGCCAACACAAGGAGCTTCTGTTTTTTTGTTTTTCTTATAGGATTGTCTGCTGCTTTCTGGGAAAGTGGGTGGAAGCAGCAGTCACTGTCAGTCTGTATGCTACCTTTGGATTGGGACATAATATGTCTGTGAATTAACAACCAAATGTGGAAAGAAAGAAAAATTAACAATGAATCTTTTGTGAAACTGTTTCTTTGTTTACAATGTTTTTTTTCTTTTCTTTTCTTTTCTGACCCCCGATTCACACATTTGTGCATGTTGATGGTATTGTTTTGCAGAATCAACCCATGACAAATAATGAAACCTAGAACATTTTATAGAAAAGCCCCACTAAAATGTAATTGACATGAATCTGATGATTTCAATTCAAATACTGACCTAAAACAACTTGAGTGGTCTGAGTTTTATAGATCATCTTTATTGACCATCTTATGAGAAATGCTCAATGGCAGCCTTATATTAGATTTACTTTTCTTACAGGCTGTTGTTCATTCACGAGAATTTATTTAAGACCTGACCGCTGTAGTTTACTTTCAAATCCCTCTTCGCATTTAATGTTGCATTTGTCCACCATCGCAGGTTGTGTCCACCATGCCAGCCATAACTCAAGGACAAAATAAAATAAAATATCTCCTGGTAAGAGAAAGCAAAGTTAAAGGTTAGCCTGAGGCAGAAAGTAGCTATAAGGGCAGACAGATAAGGCTCTCGCTTGATCTTATAACATCTTCCTCTGGCTACAAGCACTGACCTCATCAGCGAAGCACAGTGTGGTGGCATGTCAATCAAATGCTATATGCCAAAACACCCGTACCAGTCTGTAATCGTGGATCATATTGACAATATTACTGGATGGGAGATTTCGATTTTAAATGCTGTTGTCAAAAATGTTTTAATGGAAAATGAAGAAATGGTATTTTGGTAAGAATGTTGCTGACTACTGAATTTCAAAGTGTTTTGTTTCCTACGGTTGAGGTCAATGTTTATTCAGAAGAGATCAGCGTTCATGAGAAGAAATAAACAGAAGAGTAAATGATGCCTCAGTTTTAATTTTGAGTCAACAACCCCTTTAAAAGTAAGGGGTTATTTTTTTATTTTGTGACATAGCATGTTACAATATGTTTATTCACTTTTTTAAGCTTTGTGTATGCATGTAGTTTTATCCATTTATTTTTACATGCAACAAAAGGGATGCCATATTACTAGGTGATCTATAAAACTGCAGACTCAATCACATCCAGGCCATATCAACAGATACAGAAATTGTTCTTCACCTGTTAATGTTCACTTTCAGTTGAAACGGTGTGGGAAATGTTTCATTTAAGCTGGACCATATTTTGTACACTAGTGCTTAAGTATATTAAATTATGTTTTTGCACAGTAATTGCAATGTATGGTACTTTATGCTGTCATTATTTCACAATGTGACTTGACGAATTTATTACTGAAGAGAGAAATATATTGCAAGATATGTTCGGACAGAATGCGGAACTACATGTGCAAGAGGGTTGAACACGAGCACAACTGAAATTTCTTGGTTCTGTTTGACAGCCCCCTTGACGTACTTTAATGTGCAATTTCAAAAATGAAAAATGACAATTTTGTTCATCCTTGTATGTGAGAAACTGCATTATTGCCCTCCCTATTGAAATAGTTTTCTTTTAATTTAGTTCATTTTTTTATTTTTTCAATAAAGATGAATCTTCAGTGTTGAATCATATTAGAATGAGTGTTTTTTGTTAACTTAATGCTTTTTTAGCAAATATAAATCCAGAAATAAAGCTGCAAGCAGCATTATAAGGCACCCAGGCTTACCGCCGCCTGGGGCCTTAGGATGACAGAGAACAGTGGACAAGAATAATTTAGGCTGATACATATAAAATCCTTGTGTCAGCAGGTGGCGCTATGACTGTGGCTTAATATTGGCATGTAGATGTCTTCAGGAGAGAATTGTCATTTAACATCTAAATATACAGGCAGATTGCACATTGTTTGGCGTCCAGTTGGAGAACCTTGTCAGTCCACCACACACTCTAGATCAAAGGTGTTCAAACTCGGCCCTGGAGGGTCGGTGTCCTGTAGATTTATCTTCAGCTTACTTCAACACACCTGCGAGGATGTTTCTAAAAAGCCTAGTACAGGGGTGTCCAAACTCGGTCCTGGAGGACAGATGTCCTGCATAGTTTAGCTCCAACTTCCTTAATCACACTTGCCTGGAAGTTTTACGCTGCGTCCGAAAATGCATTCTTCCATACTATAAAGTAGGCTAAAATCAGTATGCGAGCCGAGTAGTATGTTCAAATTCATAGAATTTGAAATCAGTATATCCGAATGACCTACTGCTTCAAGCAAATTTCCCATCCAATCTGCGCTATCTCATGATGCCCTCGTGAGAGAATTCACAAATGGGAGTGAAGCAACGCAACTGACACTGGTGGATGTAGTACGTCCGAATTCCATTGATACTTTTCACACTCATACTGTATAGAAGGTACTTTTCTAACGTCTGAGTAGTATGTTTAAATTCAAATGCAGCCTTCAAATTTCGGACACAGCCTTTTTATACCTAGAAGGAGCTTAATTAGCTGGTTCAGGTGTGTTTAATTGGGGTTGGAACTAAAATATGCAGGACACTGGCCCTCCATGAGCGAGTTTGGGCACTTCTGGCGTAGTAAGAGCTTGATTAGCTAAACCAGGTGTGTCTGATTTGGGTTGGAACCAAATTTTGCAGGACACCGGCCCTCCAGGACCGAGTGTGGACACCCCTGCTCTAGATCATCGGTGCCCAAACTCGGTTCTGCACAGTGTCTTCACAACTTTATTCAACCAGTATAGGCTGAAGTGCTTGTGGGCGGGGCCGCAGGTTTCAATTTTCCCAGGTTTGCACGCACAGCAATTGGGTGGGGCTTAAGTTTTGTATTGATGTCACGCCGAAAAGGCTAAAGACTCTTTATCAAGATGATTCATCTAAAGCACAGGTGTCAAACTCAGATCCAAAAGGGCCGCAGCTCTGCACAGTTTAGTTTCAACCCTAATTAAACACACCTGATCAAACTAATTGAGTCCTTCAGGCTTGTTTGAAACCTACAGTACAGGTGTGTTGGAGCAGGGTTGGAACTAAACTGTGCAGGGCTTCAGCCCTCCAGGAATTGAGTTTGACACCCCTGATCTCATAATAATATCCATTATGAATGGACTCTTTTATAAATTGATCAATAGTTTTAAACACTTTGCACTATCAGATTTAAGCCTTAGCTGGATATTTCACTTCACTTAGAGCTGTTACACACTTCATGGAAGGTCATTTTAAAAAATCCATAATAGGGGCTCTTTAATACACACACGAACGTGTCAGACCGGAAACACAAGCTCCAGCGACAGGTTTCACAGTTCGCTGTTGTTAGAACATTCAAGCTTGGTGAACTCTGACCTGCGAAATCGCATTACATGATTGCATGAAACCAATCTCTAGCTTTTTTTTTTATGTCTAATCATCTTGTTTAATACCGTCTATTTTTGTAGCGCCGTGCAACAGAATTTCACATGCACAAACTAGTGTGACTGCGGCATAAGACTGATGTTCTAGAGCAGGGGTGTCAAACTCAATTTCTGGAGGGCCAAAGCCCTGCACAGTTTAGTTCCAACCCTGCTTCAACACACTTACCTGTAGGTTTCAAACAAGCCTGAAGGACTCAATTAGTTTGATTTGATTGTGTTTAATTGGCGTTGGAACTAAACTGTTCAGTTCGGCCCTTTTGGAACTGAGTTTGACACCTGTGTTCTAGAGAATAATAAACAGAGCAATTTCAACAGGGCCTACTTACCATAGGTGCTCTGTCCCTAAATATCAGATTACATTACTCAGTATAGAGTTATTTTTGAATAAGTATCTATGTAAATGGTTACTGTAGATATTGTTTTAATTTTTAGTCATATTTAATGTATTTGCCTATATATATATATATATATATATATATATATATATATATATATATATATATATGAATCTATTTGTTTAGTAGCCTATATATATATAACCGAAAGTGCTCTGTCATGCCATCTCAGCACATTATTGATGAGCTCATAATCTGGAAGAGGAGGCAAGTACATCCTACTAGTACACAGTTTGACGGTGGTAGTGATTAATGCTCACAAAATCTAAGATTTCATAAAGCAATATAAAGCTGATGCAAGTCCTAAACACAAGACAAAATGTTGGTTTATTGCCTCAACATTCAATAAAAGTGAGTTATAAAACAACAACAATGAAAAATGTGCAAGTTATCTATATATAGTGAGGATTAAACTAAAGAACAACGTACAATTTTTTTTGTATTTGTAGCCCCTTCTTTGTCCTATTTGAATTTAGGGGTGATTTTATGGGTTATGCATAAACTGAAGCACTTATAAAAACATGTTCGTTTGAAAAAGAACTCTGATCAACATTAGAGAAGACACCTGCCAGTTATTGGTGTTAATCTGCACCTGGTGGTAATTTTCTCAATTATCTGACAAATCCTTTTTAAGTGCATGGGAGCCAAATGTTCCAGCTTTCACTGACTTTGCAAGATGGTTAGCCTTTCTAAAGTGACTGAAATCCTTCAACAGCAGATTGTCCAGATGAAGGCCAAAGGGAATATTCTTTCTATCATAGCAGTTCCATCCTTTAGTGATGAAAGCAGATTAAATTTAATTGGGTCCAATGGGAAACATTATGCTCATAGTCAAACAGGGGAAAGACTGAACTCAAAGTGTGTATTAGAGAAAGGTGTCAGTTTTCATGCAGGACACTCTTATCCTGGTCAGAGATGGGCTCAAGTCCTTCAAAACAAGGGCCTATACTTACTATAAATTTCTAAGGGATGTCCCAAACTGTCTAATGCACAGGGGAGGCAAAAAAAATTATAGAAGAGGAAGAAAAACGTGGCAAAGACAGGTAATGTTACGATAAAGATGATTATTTTGCTGTATCTGGACGATGATTGATAACACCATTAACAAGTAGATTGACACTTGTCAACTCTCCAGTTTTTGCCTGCTGCCGTTTGGGCCCCATTTACACTAAAATATTTTAATTTAAAACAGTGTTTTAGAATGAAAACAATCCGCGTCCACACTGGCATTTCACCCAGCATTTCTAAACAACTCTGTCTACACCACGCCACTGAAAACCCATATCACGTGACCCCACACACACACACACACACACACACACACTCTGGCATGCACTGCAGCTTGCTTTGAGCACATCTACCCACATGGGAGCTGTGCACTGTTCAGCAAGGATCTACCGCTGAATCTAATCTCACTATATTTGTTAAACATGATGTTTAATTCATCTTGTTTTCTATATTTAATGACAAATTTCCCGACTTTGGTCTTTTGAATCTATTACTTGTTCTCAGATAACATGTTTGGCAGAGCACAAAATTAAGTTAGGTTAACCTATTAATTAATGTAATCGCGGACAGTGATTCTGTATATTGACTGATTGCTTGCCTTTATTTCCTATATTGTATAAACTTGTTGCACATTATACTTTTATAATGGCCATTATTGATTATTAAAAGCGATATTTAGTGAAAGAGAGGGTATGTTTCGTATTTTCAATGAGAATTAAAGGAGGAAGTTATGTTATATTCTCTGTTTTGTCATAAATATGCATACAGTGAAGATGACGGCCATATAAACATGTGGCTACATGACGCCTCAACATTTCTGCTGTCTGTTAAGTTGCTAATATCAAAATGAAAGGCAGTTGCTTATATTATAACAGCCTTCCATTGCTGTTATCGCCAGAAATGGGGGTGAGCACGTATTTCACGCGTGCAATCAGAGTCCATGCATGCTAAAGTTGTTTTTAAGCAGAATGTCTTTATTTGTGCAGGTGAATTAAACAAAGCCTCTATCTTTGCTTCTCCTTTCTTCTTTATCATGTCAATATAACATTCACTCCATGTATACACAGCACATATCTAAACACTGCTGTTTTCTGGCTAGCAAACAAATTACTCTGTGGCACGGTCAAAAACCGTGTGCTTTCCCATACCTGACGCTCTTCCTCGCTTACACAGGCACCTCAGTTATAGTTTTCAGTTAGTGACACCTAGTGGACAACATAAATCACTACAACACAAAAAATGGCTCCTACACACCGGCCCCTTAATTGATTATGGTAATTAACATAACAATTACAAATATTACGTAAAGGAGCCATAACAAATATTGAAGCACCACATGACACAGACTGTAACAGTCCACATTAGTCATTTACCTCCAGCAACAGACAAAGCTTTCTTACAGGTCGTTCTAAAATACTACTCTTGGTTTTAACCTTTACAGTTCGTACCAGGCCCTTATCATCTGAAAAGGTTTCTAATACTCGACCAAGTGGCCATGAGCCACGAGGCGCAGTAGGATCCAGTAAAAGTACAATGTCCCCTGTACTAAAACTTCGACGTTCCTTTGTCCATTTTTGACGTTTTTGGAGTAGAGGAAGATACTCCCGTATCCATCTTTTCCAAAAAAGATCAGCTAGGTACTGCACTTGTTTCCATCTTCTTTTCACATAGAGATCTGTTCTTTCAAAAAGACCTGGTGGTAAAGCAGGCTTGCCTTTCATGAGAAGCAGATGATTTGGAGTAAGAGCTTCAAGGTCATTGGGATCACTGGATACCTTGGTAATGGGACGATCATTTAGGATTGATTCTACTTCACACA